CCCAAAATAAAAAACACAACAAATTCTAAGGTCCATACTTTTCCAACAAATCAATCTAAAACCAACCCATCATCTTCCTCAAAAACCCCACCTCAAACTCCTCCTCTTCCGATCACAATTCCAAAAATCCAAATCAAACCAAAAAAAATGATGCACATGACCTTTTACTGGGGTAACAAAGTGACCCTTTTGTTCGATTTTTGGAAAACCAATTCTTGGTTAAGCTATGCTCTCGCTTTACTTGCTTGTTTCATCGTCTCCGTTTTTTATCAGTATATGGAAGATCGCCGTCAGCGATTCAAAATTCTGTCTTCTAATTCCAAGAAAAACTATCCTTCGCCGCCGTCCAACGCCGCCGTGAATACCCCTCTTCTTTACTCATTTCCGACCGTCGGCGGTGAGTGGAACTGGGCGAGATTTGCGACGGCGATTCTATTTGGGATTAATTCGGCGATTGGGTATATGCTTATGTTGGCTATTATGTCATTTAACGGCGGCGTTTTTGTTGCCGTCGTTTTGGGTCTGTCGATCGGATATTTGCTTTTTAGGACCGGTGAAGAGGATGTTGTGGTCGTTGATAATCCATGTGCCTGTGCTTGAAATTTTCTGAATATTAATGGGTTTGGTTCTTGTTTTACCCATAGAAATTATATGGAAAAATGATAATGAAGGTGTTTTTTTTTTTTTTGGTTTTTAGATAGTATTGGATCTGTGGTTTGTACCCCTGCTGATCTTTTTCATTTCCTTCTGTTGTTGTGTATTTCTGGATCTGAATACTATAAATTTACATTTCTCCATTTTCATTATTATTGTTTTCCCAAATTTTTGTCTCATTTAGTGGTGTTTGCTTTAAAATTATGTGCAAAAAATATTCTTGAAAACTTTGAGGCAAAACTCCACCGCTAGCTGGCTTTAATAGGAATTGAAGGTTCTGTTATTATATTAGTAAGTAAAATCTGTTTTTGCTTTTTTACTTGATAATGCCATAACAGTTGGATTGTCTGTGCATTTACTGAGAAAGAGAAACAAACAGTGCTATAGTTAATCCCTATACATTTAAAACAGCAATAACAGCAAAGCAACCCATGGAAAAATTGTTAAAAATTGTACTCTAGTAGTGATTTTTACTTGGATGGACAAAAATGAGAAGCATGACAGAACTGCAAATAGAAATTTCCCCCCTTAGTAATTACCACATGGACAAACTTTTGATATGTGATTATTCTGGGTATATTGCCCCACTTGGCTACTGGGGTGGGGCTATAATATGAGTAGGAAAATTCCCATAAAAAGAATATAATTCTGAGTTCTGGCACTTGGCCGTCTTTGCGTCCAAATTCAGTAGTTCACTTTTAGTGGAAATGCCGTTTCAATAAGAAGAAAACAGTAGTGACTAACAGGTTCAGCTTTATACTAGAAAGAAATGTTAGAAGTAATCCTCCAATACATTATTACTATTATGTCTTTTATTATTACGAATTTTCAAAATTTAAATTTTTTGTTTTGTTACTAAATAAGGAGAGTTCATTTACAGTATAATTTTGAGAAATAAATATCTAAATTTACCCGCAGATAAAAACAAATTGCTCTCGTTTTCCAAATCTCCATATTGTTTTTGGAATGAAGCAATCTTCTATGAGTTCTACTAATTGAAGTCCAATATCTTGTAGAAATTTCAGTCTGCGATTCTGTTTTTCGACAATTGGCTGCAGTAACACGATACATTATATGCTGAAGAATAAAAAGAACGGCTTTATGCTTTGAGGATTTGATTGCAACAAGTCAGGCAAGTTGCTAATATTCCTCAACCACGAACTACATCGTTCACATCAATTTCAAACAAGCATTGGCAGTAAATAACAAAGCATTAGCTCTTTTTCATCTTCGAAGTTGAGGTTCTATAACAAAGGGAAAGGGGTTATGCTGTGGCCTGCAAACAAGTAGCTAAGAACGGATTGCCATGACAATTTACTATATCAATACAGAATATGTAAACAGTGAACAATTGTTTTCTTTCAGGGTACATCAGAAACAAATATTCAGCCTTGTCTAAAATTGACGGCTTCATATGCAAATCATATATCATGTCTTCTAATGATCATACTGAAATCGCTTGGGTTAATTTCCTGGAGCATATTACTGATGCAACATTCAGAAGTTAGCATCAAGGTTAAAAGAATGTGATACATACTCCCCACCTTATCAACAAAACAACTCTGGCACTAATGTACACTCAGCAATCTGGGAGAAGTGCCCAAGCATTAAGCAAATGGAGCAAGGAGATTCGGTGGAAGGTTGTGAGCATAAAACCCGGATTGAAGCAATGGAGCTGTCACAACGCAATTGTCAATTGTCAAGCTGGTCCTATGAGGGAAATGGTGGCAGAGGCACTGAGATGAATGTACAAGCACAAAATTCTAATTGCTTATTGCTGATCTTGAATCTTTAGTGAGACTAATTCACTATCCTGCTGTTGGCCTCTTGACCTCGAGGTCTTTGGACGCCATCTTTGAAAACTTTCTGGTAACCTGGAAAAGGTCACACATATATTGAACCATAAACCAATGAGTAAACACATGAAGGTGATTTGAGTAAATAAACATACAGTTAGATACTACTGTAGATATTCATCACTTTAGACAAGGAAAAATCTATCAAAATATTGAACAAAAACACAAACGATCTTAACAAGTTATAATAACCAAATGTTACTAAGAAATAAAAGTGCATACTGGCTTTGGTACTGCCATTTCTGTCCCCCAATCGCGCAGTAACACCCAAGAGAGAGAAAAGAATTGAAAAAGAAAAAAGAAAAAAAGCAAAGATGTATTGCATGCTCTCTCTCATTTTCTTCCTTTCCTCTCTTTTAGGGCAGTGGGCAAATAGGGTCTACACCATTTAATGTTGCAAAAAATTGGAATGCAAAATGAATAGTATAATACAGGAAAGAAATTGAACTCGACTTACAGATCCAATCTCTCATAAATTGCTCTACGGACTGAGCTGTTAAGACCATATGCTATTGAGTTAAAGAGACCCTAACAAAGCATAGAAGATTTGTCAAGAAAGAACATGTCAATACTTTAGAGTCCGAGTAGTTATAAGGAAGAGCAGAACAAAACTAAACATCAGCATAAAATCAGAGATAAATTCATATCCACCAAGCATCCTAACTCATAAACATTGGCGCTCAAAGTAGTTATAAGGAAGAGCAGAACAAAACTAAACATCAGCATAAAATCAGAGATAAATTCATATCCACCAAGCATCCTAACTCATAAACATTGGCGCTCAAACCAAACTAATGAGCTTTCGGTTAACGAAATAATCAGCTTAAAATTCACCATCTAGTTGAAGCAAACACTCAGTGGCATTACTCTTGAAATTCTGTTTATAATCTTCGTGGAAGTGGAGGATCTAAAACATTCTTTCCAGAGAGAATTTGTTTGTTAATACTAGTTACCAAAGAGGTCCATCACAGTCTGCAATCTATCTGATGTACGATAAGGACATAAAATACTCATTGAGGAGTGTAACAGTTCCCTCTGTACACCTTCCATAACCACATGAGAGAGAAGAGAAAAGATAGAAATCATCTAGAGATAGTAGGGTTTACCATGAGCTGTGCCATTACAACGTCAAGAACAGAAAGCCAAAATATCTTATGACCTGGTTCAATAAAGTCATGTATACGATTGATTGTGCCGAAAAACCATGATCCTATAAGAATTAGGGGATAGTAACCCCAACGATTTAGTGCCTGCAAGATGTCCAACAGTGTAACAGTTGATAAAAAGAGCAAATAGCAAGAAAGGTAAATGAGACAGCGTCAATAACAGAAGACATTCATTTTCCAGCTCTGCCCCATACTTTTAAGATAACATTTTGAATTACTTTCACTTAGCAGAGGAGCTTTGTGTACCTTCATATCTGATCGAGGATCTGGTTGGTATGACCGATCTGACATACCCACTGCCATCTGGAATATTAGATGAAGAATCAGCATACTTGAAATGTCACAATTTTTCTTCAGAACCCAATTCTTCATAAACCAATACAAGAATCATAAATTATTAAGGGCAAAGACAATGAGTACATACACGAGTTGCATTGTTTAGCATCCGTATTACTTGAAAATAGGTGACACCATTAAAAAGAATGGCACCCCAAAGAGGTGCATAAAACGTGATGAAGTGGGTAACCTGCAGTAATGAACATAACAAAGATTAATTTGATAAATGATCTTTCAAGCTAAAAGATAATATAGCCCAAACAACTGAAATATGACCATCTATCTGTACCGTTTTACCAAAATCAGAAAAGTTTTTTTTTCCTTAAAAAGGAAAACAAATTAAAACAAAAGATTAAATGTGAGAACTCCTTTGCCAATTAACAATCAAACTACATCGTGCATTTATTTATGACATCAACGTTATTCATGAAAGTAACAGAAATCCATCCCTTGAACTTAGTATTTAAAAACTATCACAATTTTCGAAGCTCACAAACTACAGAAATGACATCCAAATAAAATTCAATAGATATTACCATGAAAAATGCATAGTAGAAACTTAGAGATTATGACCACTAAATACTTGCCTTTCCTGCATGTCCTGTTTGTGCCCAACACCAAGTGCCTAACCGACTTAGATGCTCATGATTATTGGCAATTGATCTTATCACTGTCATTACTCCTGAAGTTCCTGGAGAAGCATCGGGATTAAACAAGTTGCTCTATGCATTCAGAAACAGAGAAATTAACAACAGTAACCAATTATAGAAGCCAATTTGTTGTCTCTGATAAAAGAAAATACCCCAAACGTATAAATGAAACATAGGCTCCAAATCTTCAACATCTGTCTTATGCCTAACAACTGTTCGGTGAAGAGTAAAGGCAATTGTTGTAGTCCACAAGAAAGATGCTAGGCAGAAGAAATGTGTTGTATAGCCTTGAGCATAACAGAAGAACCCTTTGGAAGGATCCCTACATGACCAAACAAACTCACAGTTAACAGTTAAGAAGAACCATTTAGAATGAAAATTCACTGTGGCCTGCTACAAATAACTTGTAGAAGAGAGTGGCAGTACCCAATTATGCTGAAGAAACTGCAGCACATGTCCTGCACTCAAGCGAATTAAAGGAAGTCTTGAAATGAGAGAAACTTAAAACCATATAGAGCATAAATCACTATAGCAAGGCCTATGTATGACAGATTTCGAGTCATAAAGTAAAAAAAGAAGCATCTGAATATTCAATCTTCTTGATAGGCACACACCATTAGTCAATAATATATAATCTAAAATTATGGACATTTACCACTTATGTATTATACTAGATGCGCTTCTTTTCCTATCCTTCCATTCCATTGATTGAGCACTTCGCATTAGTCCTTCGGTTTGAGTAAGCACAACAACAATCACCTTTCAAATTATTAACTAAGAAGTAAAAACTAAACTTAAAGCAGAGTAAATTCAGCAACCTCTAATCTGGACTGTTACCCGAAACAATGCTCAGAGAGAGATACTATTATCCAAGGATATGAGATAACAGCTTGATTGATCTTAAGTTGTTTAAGTAACAAATTCAAAACATAGAGTCAACTTCATTTCCATTAGAGCTACTAGCTCAGTCCGGGCTGCAGCTACGTCAATTTGACCAACTATCTAAATTGAAATTATTTTCGATGTAGCCAGTAGCCACTGTGTGAGAGAGACTGCGAGATTCTCAGCACAGTGCATTCACAAATCATAATAACTAATCCTAAATGGGGTAACCAATATGCATACAAACTTTTTTCTTGGTTTTTCATTTTCTTTTAACTTTTCAAAGTACGTATTTATCTTCTTTTTTATTTTTCACAAGAGATTTCTGCATTACTTGCTAAATAAAAGGACCCCTTGATATCAAAGCTTTGAGAATCCCAAGCAGATCGGACAACTGCTTGTATGGAGTTGCAATCTATTTGTAAAAGATAGAGTCAACAGCATTTCCATTAAGCTGCTAGTCATCTATGCAAGTTCTCATCCTATTGCAGCAACATACATTTGATCCAATGCTCGAATTACCCACTGTGGGACTGAGAAATGTACCAATATTGGAACAGTCAGAATACTAATTCTAGAGAACCAATATGGATAGCAACTTCTTCTCTTTCTATTATTTTTATAACCGTGGTGTTCAGGCAGCTTGCGTGCACCTTGACTAAAGATATAACTTCTTTCATGTTCTTTCTTCTTTCTATCTTTTTCTTTTCTTTCTTTCTTTTATGTATATACTCAAGTACTTTGTTTCATTGTTGTATTCTTTTGATTTAAGCCCGCCGGCAAAGAAAATTTTCCATAGCTTGCGTCATTAGGTACTGGATTTATTTACTTGCCTAATTAAAAAATGAAGAAGTATTTTGACTATAAAATATGTTACTTTTTTTTTTAAGTTCCTTCAAATATAGAGTTCAATTGCATTTCCATTCCAAACCTCCAAGCTCACTGAATCCAACTCCTGATCTACTACATCTACACATTTTACTCGATTCAATGAAAAAAAAAACGTAAACTAAATTACTTCAAATATAGCCACATTTTGAGGAAGAAGAATGTAAAATGCAATTTTACAATAATTGACTAGCTCTCGATAAAATTATCAAAAATCGAACTAACCCTAAGTACTGAGAAAGAAGAGAGAGTAGACAAAAGGTGAAAGCAAATTTACTGACGGATAAAGCGAGGTAGAAGACAAGCTTGAAGGAGAACTTGCGGAGCTCTTTGAATAGCAAATAACAGAGCACTATGAATCCAGAACCGACGAATGATAAACTTGATGCTCCGCTGTTCACTGCCGTCAGTACTTGTCGTTCTGCCACCGTTAAATTCCCCATCACTGCTTTAACTGTCGCCATTTTTCAAGCTTCTGATTACACTTTGAAACCACAAATATCGCGTTATGATTCGTTGTGTTGATCGGTTAAAGCTTGGGATCGAAGAAAGCAAAAGGAAGTTTTCTGCTGGCAAGCAATAAGAAATCCAAGGGCTTTTCCTGGAATATGTAATTCAAGAATTAAAAATTACTTTTGCTTCATTCTAATAACAAGCGTCGCTTTGGCCGAGTGGTTAAGGCGTGTGCCTGCTAAGTACATGGGGTTTCTCCGCGAGAGTTCGAATCTCTCAGGCGACGATCTTCTTTTTCTGTTGTACCTTATTTGTTTTGGTTTTAGCATTTCCGTTTTATAATTTATTAGCTGATAAGTTGTAAATATGAACACTTTGACCCATCAAATTTCTGGACTAAAATACTGCAACTCTTGGGTTGATTCTCAACCTTCTATTTTGGTGGAAATGACATCAGGTAGCTACTTCTAAGCATGTTATTTAAAATATATTCACATTTTATAATGTATTTAAAGATTAGTCATTTCGCTCAAACTTCAGGACATCGTGTCCTAAAGTTCGAAAATTATGTACAGAAGTTCGAATCTTATGCAATGAATTTTAAATTAGTAGTTCAGAAATTCGGGACACTTAGTCCTGAATTTCCAAATTTAGGATACTTAGTCCTGAAATTTGGATGAATTGGCTAATCTTTAAATATATTGTAAATTATGAATATATTTTAAATAGCAAGCTTAAAAGTGGCTATTGCTGCACTTTTGCCTCTATTTTGGCCTAAAACAGTAGCTAAAAACTAGAAACAAAGAACGAGAGAAATGGATAGAGAGAGAAAATTGTTGACCTAATTGTAACAAAAAGAATAATCAAATTAATTAAGTGGTTTTGACTTGCCTAAATGAGTTACAACTAAATACATATTATTTCATCCATTTCATGTTATATGACGGTATTTGATTGGACATCATATACTCTTTTAATTCTTCGATAAGTTTTAATTGGATTAATTCTATGTTTTGCATGGCCCAAATTAGTTGTTTATGTGATGGGAAGTGAGAAAATACTTGGTTTGATTTTTTGGAATGTGATATATGTGTTTGAGGATGTTGGGAGTCAAATACAAACTTTAAGAACAAAAAGAGTTATAATTAAGATAAAACGAGGGGCTAATCTAACAAGTGAAACAAGGTTTAACTTCATAAAGTAGAACTCTTGATTTATGAAGAGGTTGGCCATAATTTCTGAAGGACAATTGTGCTCCCGATATATAAGATTTCAAACAATTTGTCATTTGAATGATATTTTTACTAAAAAGCGCTTAGGAGCCCTAACGTTCTCTTTTTGGGTGAGGGGGAAGAGAGGGGTGGATGGGAACTGTGAGAAAGGGGTAGCGTTCCTTTCAATCAAGAGAAAAGGTCAAGCTTCCTAACTAACTCTGTTTTTAGCAGGTAGAATTTATATATCATTAGTGTACAAATGGAAGTTTCTAAGGTTGCTTTATATTATCTCTGCTATAAATTATTTGAAGCTGAATGTTCTATTTTTCAGATTGATGCAATCACGTTGTTGCTTCACTTCTTTTAGTTGTTGAAATTCTGACCAACTCCACTTAAACAAAGAAAATCTTCTCCACATTTTATTAAATACCCACAATACTTTTTTTTTAATAACAGTGGTGTTTGAGCCAACTCGCACGCACCGCAATTATTACAGTGGTACCTGCTCGCATGTTACATCCCATCAACACATGTATCGGATAACTCTGTTTTTGGCTGAACTCTGGATAACTTTGTCTTCGGCTGAAATCTGAAATCTGATCTCCCCGTAGTTTTCACCGGCTTCATTGATCGCTTGATCACAATCTTGGTTGCTAAATACCACAATTCCATGTATGAAATGGCATATCCATTTCAGACCTTACAATAGAATGGGTTTAGTCTCCATTTCATATCTAACTACTGAAGAGTTCACAAAAGATGAGAAAAGTTACAATCCTATAAGCAGTATGCTGCTTAGACATTCTATATACTGCTTACCGCATTAATATTTACTACCATGTGTTTCTCAAAAGAATCCACCTTTATACACACAGTATTTTCTGAATTTTTATCATTTTTGCTGTAGTGCAAAAGTTCTATAGCTAGTGATGCCAAGTGAAGTGCCATTACTTAGATTCTTCACTGCAATGTTTGAGGTAGCTATATTTGCCATATCTCAATGTCTTCTATAAAGAGCTGTATCCGAGTAAGACGCCACCATTCTCTGCCTATTGATTCTCTGTCTCCAGCCATAACCTTGATTTTTCCCATTCAAGTACTTCTCCTTTCTGTTTCTCCCATTTCGTTCCGGTGTTGCAGCATCCTCTTTTTCGCCATTTTTCTCACTCCCACTGCTGAAATCACTGTTTGATGTCATCGTTATCATTGGATCACTAATTGCAGTGTCAGTGTTGTTGCTTTCCTCCTGAAGTGTCTCAAGAATCTTGACAACATCATCCATTGAAGGCCTAGGCTTAGGATAATGACTCAAGCATTTGTATGCTACTAATGCTGCAGTTTGTGCGCCTTTAATCGGGTATTCACCTTCAAGTCGTCGGTCCATCACACGGGCAATTTTCTTAGGATCTCTTAAATAAGGCCTTAACCATTCAACCAAATTCGTTTCTCCTTCTCGTCTTTTTTTATCCAAAGATCTTTTACCAGTCAGCATTTCCAACAGAACTACTCCAAAACTGTATACATCACTCATTGTTGTCAAATGACCTGGAAATGGTGGCATTGCCATTGAATTAGCTAATCACAAGTTGGACTAGAAAAGTAAGCAAGAAAACTCTCATTTATCACTATTTCCATTTCTAGATTGCCTTAACTTCCAAAGATATACAATGGAATCAAATGTGTTCAAGTGTTCATATTAGTATACCTGTCATGATGTATTCAGGGGCTGCGTAGCCGTGTGTACCCATTATTCGTGTCGATACATGTGTATCATCCCCTGCTGGTCCATCTTTTGCTAGTCCGAAATCAGAAAGTTTAGCAGTGTAATCCTACAAGATAGATCATCGCGTTTCAAGAGTTGTTATCTCTCTGTGTTCATTTGTTTTTTCAATGTATTTACAAACACTATTTGATAGAACATGATGGAAGGAGTAAGCTTACTGAATTTATTAAGATGTTTGATGCCTTAAAATCTCTGTATATGACTGGTTTTTCGCCTTCATGGAGGAACGCGAGTCCTTTTGCTGCTCCTAATGCTATCTTCATCCTTGTTGACCACGATAATGTGATCGAAAACTCTGCATAATTGCCACAAATACAAACATGAGAACTATAAATCAAGCCATACCTCAGTTTCAGGTTCTCTGAGTTCTAAAAATCATATAATAGTAAACTATTTCTAACATTTATGTCTAATTTCAGTACATCCCTATTCTGAATTGATATTGAGAAAAAAAATGTGGAAACTTACTTCCAAAGAGTTGATTTTCCAAGCTTCCTCTTGGCAAGAATTCATAGACTAGGAGTCTATTATCATCTTCCCAGCAGTATCCAATCAATTTTACCAGATGTGGATGCCTCAGTTGCCCCAGGAATATTATCTCTGTCTGCATAAAAAATCACTTTCACCATCTTTAACATTTCCACTTTAGCATACAACAATAAAGATGCACTAAGCTCCCGTTATGCGCGGAGTCCGGGGAAAGGACGGACGACAATGGTCTATTGTACACAGTCTTACCCTGCATTTCTACAAGAGGTTGTTTCCACGGCTCAAACCCGTGACCTCGTGGTCACATGGCAACAACTTTACCAGTTACGCCAAGGCTCTCGTTCACTTAGCATACAACAATAACAACAACAATTATGCCTCTATCCCATCCCATGCAAGTTGGGGTCGGCTCTATGAATCGTCATATAAAAAATAATGAAAAACAACTCACCAGCCATTCCTTGTGGCCTTGCAAACCATCTGTATCCAACACCTTAACAGCCACAACCTGAGGTTTTAACCCCGGCCTAAGCTTGTCGTCGACGAATCCCTTGTAAACCGGTCCAAATCCTCCTTCACCAAGAAAATTAGCAGATGAAAAATGGTGTGTAACCTCTCTAAGTTGAGTAAATGTGAAGTTGATAAGGCTTGATCCAATGAATGAATTGGAAAGTCCATCAGCAGATAGTGGTGAACTTGGATCATCAAAATCCAAAAGAGACAATCTCTGAAATGAACTTTGTTTTTTGACCTGTTTCTTTGATCTTACAAACTCATCATCTACTTTGTAACAACATGGGATCATTGATTTCCAAGTTAGAACCATTTCTTCACCAAATACTTTGAAAATACAAACAACAAAAGTACAGAAGATCAACAACTTAAGGAATGAGACCTTAAATAAGAAGTAAGTTTTCTTGTGGAAGAGTTCTTAAGACTAATAACTAATTTATCAATCACCTACTACTCATTTATATATAGAGAGAACTTTGATATAGACTGATGCCTTATTGCCTACCATTTCTTGAATTATTCCCATGTAAACGTGTAATAACTAAATATTTATTAAAGTATACACCAAATCAAATGTACTTAGAAACATTTCACAAATTCTAAGACTTAAAAAGAGTTTTTAGTCTCTGTATTAGTTAACAACAGGAACTGACTTGTCCACCTATTTGACTTTGATGGCATAATTAAGAATAGTTTGTTATGGTTTTTCTTTTTCTTTTTCTTATAAATACATTTGGAAGGCTACAGTTCTTGCTTTACGTTCGAAAATTTCTTCATACTTTGCTGTCAAGGTGCTTGGTACTTGAATTATTTTATTTTATAGTTCCTGGATATCTTCCAAAGGCAGATTTTGTCCTCTCAACTGCCCCTTCTTTTTTTCTTTTTTTATAATAATAATATTTCTTTCGTTTTCTGCTTTTCGAAAATTTAATAAAAAGGGAACTTAAACATTTGATATTTCAAAAGGGAAACTCTACGAGTTTGACATAACGTGCAACCGCTTGCTAGCGGAGCCAGAAATAAAGCTTATGGATTTGGATTATTAGGTTTTAAATTAATAATTTAAGCATATTCAATAAAATACTTAAGACAAATACAGAATTTAAACCGAAGCTATTAGGTTCCGCCGAACACGTAACCTGTATTTTAGCTACGCCCAGTGCACGTAACAATTTTGTACATGTAATTAATAAACGAACGCATGCATTTCGAAAGTTGAAATTAAGATATTTGATTATTGGTTTGGTTATTCTTGCTATCTCTCCGTGCATTATGGCTATTTTATGTTAAAATACTGTACGTTCCTTCACTCAAATAGCATAGAAATTTACAATTAAAGAAAATTAGAATTAACCTGGGCTTTTCAAAGAGGCATAGGCTACATGATGTTCGTCTGGCAATTGGAGCAATGAAAATTTAACGCAGAGTCCGGAGAAGGGCAGAATCTCAAGAGTGTGATATAGACAACCTACTCTAGTACAAGTATCAGTGGTTGCTTAAACGGCTTGAATCCGTGACAATTGTAGGTCATACGAGATAATTTTACCATTACTCCAAGATCTCTTCTATTAACAACTAAAGGGAAAAATAGGCAAAATTATGAAGACTTGAAGAGAGCCCTCACATGTGTTTTACATGCATGAAAAAAATCTTTCAAACTAATATACCATATGAACATTAAGATATATTTTTTAATCATGTTTTGACAAGTGTTTTTCTTGCTTCTAAGAGCAGGTTCATACTATATTATTCTACTCTTTCCATTTTGCTTATTTCCCATTTTTGTCTTTTCATTTAAGACTTTGTTAGCAATCTTTAACTATTTTTGAATAATCCCTTAGAAGGAAGAGAAAAAAGTATATAAAAAAGAATATATCTTACCTCACACTGATAACAACATTGTTTGACATATGATATAACTTTGTTCTAGTTTTCAAAGATGTATGTTAATAACGTATTTAGAAAAAGAAAAATGATAGGAAATTAAAACTTCTAGAACCTGACCCCATTTGTTGGCTGAACTAAAAACCTAAAAGCTACCCCTTCTTAGTTGTAATTGAAGAATGAAACCCCTACCAAAATATCAAAATCCCCTTACCAAATCTTTTGGTTGCTTCTTAAAAATGTTTTTTAGTTAAATGTCAACTCTATTATGGTACGTACTACAATTTCCGATGCTTCTAATCATTAGATTAATAATAGCTCCAAAAGCTCTGCATGCTACCAATTAAATTCTAGATGCATTAATCAAAATTTTAAAAAAAATGTACACAAAACAAATATCTATCTTTGATCTCCTAAGGCTGCAAATCTAATGATAGGGCAATTCATAGGAATTTTCCACCTTCTTATTTTTCTATTCTCTTTTCTTCATTCCCTTAAAGGTGTCATTCTTGTTTTGTGCAATTCATTATGTTAATTTGGAATTTTCGAGCTATTTTCAATTTGCTTGAATTTGCAAAATGCAAGTTTTGCATTGTCATAATTAGTTGCGTATAAAAATAAATAAAGATATTTGAATTATGAAAAGATTGTGGAAGTTGAGTTATATTTGGACATGAGTAACTTCAATTGAAAAAAGTTAAAAAATGCGTAGAAATTATTATTTCACTTGAAATACTTCTCAAACTAGTTTTTCATTATCCTGGATATAGAAATGCAATGGGAAAATAATTATGAGATCTCACGATCAAATTTCATCGGAGATGAAAACCACTAGATAATTCAAAAAAAAATAATCAAATATTGAAATTTAATATTTGCAAACACATAGACAAATTAAAATTTTCAAATATTTAACTTCAGTATTTACTATGACGAAACGGTAGTTTAATCTTGAAGTACTAGCTCATGTTTTCATATGCCAACTTCATACTGTTAAACTATGGTGAAATTTAGGGACCGAGTTGTCAAAAATTAAACAAGTAAACTAAAGTGACCAGCTAACAAGTGCCAAATTGTCAAAAATTAAGAGGTAAACAGCTATAATCTTCACAACCACCTTATTTCCCCACATACAAATTCACCAAATACTGATTTATACAACTTGTTGCTTTCAAAAAAGAATAGAAAATGACTGATTGTTGTGTTATAAAAAGCTTTTCCTGTGAGAATGGAGTTTGAGGAATTTGATAGAAATTAATAAATAGATAATTATTTTGCAGCCGTCATACATAGAGCAGTAACGGAGCTAAAATTTTAATTAAGGGGTATCAATATATAAAAAGTAAATACACGAAATGAATGATAAATAAACACGTGATTTTGAAAATTTTCTTTACACTGCAAGATCTTCTTAATTTAGTGAAACCAAAGGTATTTTATGTTGTTACTCAGTAAACATAAAAAAAGAAGGTAAAGGGTAAGATCATAAAAGTAGTTCTTCTAAATAATAAACACAAGTAAGAGGAGGGAAAGAGAGAAAATAACTCTTTTCAATCAATTTACATATGTTGAGTAAGGAAATGAAAAACAACAAAGTTCTTCTCTTTTTTCTAATTGTTTCACTACTAAAAATCTGCTAAAAACCGACCAAATATTTCCGACCAACATTGGTCGGTCAAAAAAAGCGACCAAAAACTGTCCAGGTTGGACGGAAACTGGGAATTTTTTTTTTTACATTTTTTAAAAACTAAATACAGACCAACGTTGGTCGGTAAATTGGTCAACGAATTGACCCAGCTGGTCAGATAAGAAAATTTTGGATTACCGACCAACGTTGGTCGGTAATCTAGATCCAATTTTTTAAATTTTAATAATTATTTTATTATTTAAAATATTTTATAATATTTAAGAATTTATATTTAAAATTACCGACCAACGTTGGT